TCCCTACTTTTCTTCCTCCTTTCCCAGCATCATGATATCTTAGTTTTTATAGAGGTGAAGAAAAATATTTTTAGTTTTCAGGAAGCCCAGTCATTGATCTGTCACTTTACTATCATGGCTCTGCTCTGTAGATAGTGACAATGTCATTATTCTTAATAGATTTAAACCACAAATTCTTACATTAATGTGGCAACATAGAATGTATGCAAAGGGAAACGGGATTTCAAATCATCACCAACTGAAATATAGAGTATCATTCTGTTCAGTTAGATATAAATGTTAATACTCTATTGTAAAAGTGACTTTAGTAGTTCTTAATAGCATCTGGTCTGGCAACATCACAAATAACTTTCTATTGATATTTTCATTATTGTGTCTAAATTCATTTTCAAAGCAAAATACTAAACTTTAAGTTAATTATGTAATGAAGAGAACTACTTCAATGAAAACACTTTTGTCTAGTTTGTTTAAAATTTGAGAAAAAAGATTTAGTTTTCACTGATCTAGTTGACTTTGTTTTAGTTTCTTTTTCTGTTTCTAGATTGAGCCTAGTCAATAGTTTTCTTCTTCTCCACGCACATGCAAAACCAGCCATAAATATACTCCATTTTCTGACAAATGGAATATTGGAATTCCTAACTATAGACAGCTCTTCCAATTTGGGGATTTTCCTTTGTTTCAGTTTCCATTATCAGTCTGAATTTGCTCAGGGAATGAACTATTTCAGTAGGGAAACTTCAGTAACTGTAGAATTTAATTTCTACTCCTTTTCTTGGTTTTCTATCAAAGTGTAAGTAAATCTTCACTATATATGTTTCTAAATCTTTTAGAACTAAATTCAATTCAAATTAAAAGCAATGATAACAATGCCAAATTTTTCAAATCAGGAAAAGCTGGTAGGTATATAGAAGTATAGAATGTGTATTTCAGTCAAATCCAATTTCTGCTTAATTTTTGTTTCCTTCAGTGTCTCTGCTCCTTCCTCCCTGACTCTGGTCCCTGCAGAGGGTCTGGCTGGCAATGGAAGAACCAATCAAACACCCTGATGCCTTCCTGTCTCTGCAAGCTGTGCAGGTCCTTGTAGAGCTATGTAGGAGGAGTCTGAATTTTTGTTTCCTTAAGGGTCATGTGTTATGTGAAGTGAGAATTCTTTTAATTGTGATTGAAGTCCTCTTGTCAAATCTATTTCTCTAGAAACCCACCAAGCTTGAGAGTACTGCCTCCAAACAAATCTTTAGCTTTTTTACCTGGCTCTTGCTGTCATTCGCTCACTGGTCGGTCCTTCTTTGTAATTCCTTCTTCATTGACTCTAGAGAACATTTAAATAGACTTTCATGGATTGCATGATGACGCATTGACCTTTCAAGTACCTAGAGGATTAGTAATCAGCTATTGGAATCTTTGCCAAACAATAGTCTTTTGCTTACTCCCACTTGGCACCACAAATATCCTTAGTGGTTAGTTTTTTAAAAAATTTTTTTAAAGTTCATTTTCTTTTATATATGTTCAATCACATTATTTAGCTTACAAAGTGAATATTCCAACATGTGAATTTTCTTCCTAGTTTGGTTGATAAAACTATAAAATTATCTTCAACAGATAATACCACATTTCTTTGTCCCATTAGTGTGTTGCGTCTCTACTTTTCTTTTAAATGTCCTTCCTCAGACTCTACTCTTTCACACACACTATATCTGGTATTCACATCCATTTACTGTGTTTCTATATCTTTAGTCAATCAGTTTCTGTCATAGATTGTGGATACTTGGTATATAAGTATGGACATACAATGTCTCTCCTTCATAGCCTGGCTTGCTTCACTCAGCAGTAAATCTTCCATATTCTTCTTTCTGTCAGAAGCCAGGATCTTTTTATTTTATTTTTATTTATTTTTTTTATGGCTGAGTAATATTCCATAGAGTATGTGTGCCACAGTTTTTCAATCAATCTGTTCATGGGCATTTGGGTTGGTTCCATGTCTTAGCAATTGTGAATAGTACCACAATAAACATTGATGTGGAAGCACTTTTCTGATTAAGAATTCTTCTGTCCTTTGGTTAGATACCAAGGAGTGGGATTGCTGGATCATATGGGAG